GTCACAATTTGTTGGTGAAGGAATTAAGCGCATCCTGTGTGAGGACTCATTCTGTGTGACTCTCCTGTGAGAGGACTTTTGGAAGCTTGCACCTAGTTTCCTCCAGATTTTACCCCATGTACCTTTTCCCTTTGCTGATTTTGCTTTCTATCCTTTCATTGTAATAAATCATAACCATGAATACAACTACACGCTGAATTATGTGAATCCTCCTGGTGAATCATTGAACCTGGGGATAGTCTAGGGGATCCCTGACACAGATCTGATCCTAGCAAAAGCCAACCTCTACAATTGTGCTCTGAAACCTACCCGCTTTGGTCTTCTCAAGTACATCACTCCAGAAACTCTTCCCATTTTCTTCTTATATCATTGTTATTCCCGCTACACTATTTTCACTAGTATATAAAGGTACTGTTATTCTCCATTAAAAAATAGAAACAATTCTCCTTTAACTCTCATTTCCCCTTATGACTGCACTTTCTCTACATCTCTTTAACAGACAACAGCAAAACTCTTCAAAAATAGTTGTATATACAGTACTTGCTGTCTCCAATTTCTCAACTTCCATACACCCTTAAATCCATTCCAGTCAGGTTTCCACTTTAACACTCCACCAAAACTGCTCTTGCCAAGTCACAGGGAATTTAATGATCAATTCTTAATCCTCATCTTATTTAACCTATTAATAGCATTTGACATAGTTGATTACTTCCTTCTTTGAAATATTTTACTTGGTTTCCTTGACAATGAACTCTCCTGGTTCTCCTCTTACCTCCAGGGCTGCACCTTTTTAGTCTCTGTTGCTGGTTCCTTCTCATCTCTCTTCATATCTCAAAATGGGAGTGACTCAGGCCTCAGTCTTTAGATCTCTTTTATAACTATGTTGACACCACTGGTGATCTCATCCAGTCTCGTGTTTTTAAATACATCTATACACTGCCAACCTCCAAGTAATTATCTCTAGACTTGACCTCTCCTCTCAAACTCTAGTCTTGAATTCCACCTGCACAACAGCTATATGTGGAACATCTAACATGCATCTCAAATTGAACTTGTCTAAAACTAAACTCTTAATCTCCTACAAATCTATTCCTCCTACATTCTCCCCTCCCCCACTAATGGCAATCTTTCCAGTTGTTTAATCAAAAAACTTGTGGTCATTCTTTTTTTTTTTTAATTTATTTCAGCATATTACAGGGGTACAGATGTTTAGGTTAATTACATTGCCTTTGCCCCACCTGAGTCAGAGCTTCAAGCATGTCCATCTCCCAGACGGTGCACACCGCACCCATCTTAAGAGACAGGGAATCATCCTCAAGAATACTAAACTGAAGGTCTAGTGTCTAGGGATTATAAGATACATGTCAACCATGTGTTGCTATGGACAAGATGCTATGAACAGAGAAAACAATAGTTTCGATTATGAGCCTAAGTTGAAAGATACAAAGTGCTGATTTGCAGTTGAGATGTTTCACACATGGATAAATCTATAGCACACTCTAAGGGGAACAGCTGCAGGGATTTATTTATTTAATTTATTTAATCTTGAACAACAATGGGGAGGTCAGTTAGTGTTTATGTAACAGTACTCACCTGTAATGAAACGATCTAATGGCATCACAGGAGCAACATGAGGTGTGGCTTGTGTAATAAGAAGATTTATCAGATCTTGTTTAAAATTTTTCAGTGTAAGCAATGCTCTTGCAACAAGGCCACCCATAGAATGACCAATTATTGTCACACTTTTCGGAGCAAATTCTTGACCCTATTAAAATAAATCACCATGGCATAATTAAAGGTTGGCATCATAATAAAAATAGTAAATATTCCTTTCTGCATGTGAGTAATTTTACAGAAAAAAGAAATTTATATAACCTCCCATCAGAAGATATAGAAATACATTCTTATACAGTTTAAATAAGTATATTAGTGTATACATAATATTTTGTGTTCTGCTAAACATTT